GACATATTTCCTGAATCTCATTGGCAGTCTGAAATCTCTTCCCTTTCAAAGGTTATTTTAGTTTTGGAAAAAAGCCAGAAGTCACAGGGTGCCAAATCTGGGCTGTTGGGGGCTGAATCACCTGGGTGTTTTGACGCTTTGCCAAAAAACTCTGCAAGAGAGGTGATGCATGAGCAGGCTCATTGTCATGATGAAGGTGCTAATCACCAGCTGCCCATAGCTGTGGCCTTTTGAATCATCCAAGTAGTTTCCATGAAGGAGTTCAAGCTTAACACAAATTTTGATGCAGATTTGTTCCTCTACTCACTCAGTCATTTTGAATGTGACAGCCACACAGTACACATGCTCACTCAACGACATCTACCACCCCCACTGACTAGTACAGTGAAGCTGTCATTGTTCATGCATGCGCATTCCAGTCCACTCTCCTTGGCTGCTGGGTTACATTGATATGGCGCAAACCATTCTCGCTATATTAACAATGACTGCAGATTTTCTGGACATACCTTACCATATTTCACAAAATAATTACATTGAGCAGATAGGAAGGTAGTTAACCTATAAGAAGGTACTTGAAGTTAGAGATTGGATGTAAAAGAATGAAGCGATTGGATAGGCTCTGTACATACACAAAAGATAAAACAGCGGGAAAATGCCAAAATGTGTTGGCAGTCCCTGATATTTTGCAAAGATGAAGTCACTGAGCAGAGCAAATAATTAAACTCATAAATGACCACCCATTTTTTTTCCAACAAATAAGGACTTAACTATCTGGATTAAATACCATAAACAAATAAAACTCTTCGCATTTTAAAGGTTTATTTCAAGCACTAAACTTTCTGTATTTCTCCCCAAAGAGCCAAGCATGGTCAACACTTTGTTCTGACTGGGCTAAAATAACAGAAGCATGAAGCAGAACTAAAACTACACCATTTAATCTCTTAATTTATGCACAAGAATCATTCATGAATTGCTGTGGCTTTAGACTTTTCCAAGTTTTTCTATACACATTTATTTACATTTAATTGGAGCTTTTTGCTTCCAAAGTTCAAACCGTTTTAATGCGGTAATTTTACATTGGGGCCAACTAACTGTATTTCTGACCTTTTACATTTTAGGTATCTGACCTTTTACATTTTAGGTATCATTACTATTTTAAAACAAATGAAATAAAAAATAAGATTCAAAAATTTACCAGAAGTCATAGTGTAGCTATTGTTCATTCCTCCTGGGAAGAATGGAGCTACTCAGGGGACATGCCATGGCCATTCATTGGGGAACCAAAGGTGAGAAAGAAATTTGGAAAGTTCTACAATAGTATCACAGATATACAGCTGACACATCACAATATCACCAAAAACCCTGTGTCCCCTCTAAGTAGCACTCTTCTTTCATCCTTCAACCTGGCATAAGCATTTGTTTCCCCAGCAACTATTTACTCAGCCCCTTCGCTTTAGCCATGTACTGTGTCAAATCCTAAGGCTCAAAAAAACAACAAACTAAAACCAGTAACATTCTATTTGGAATATCCTTATGACTAGTTGGTCCACATCAAACATGTAGGTTAAACCCACAGGACATAAAATGCTTCATATTTTAATCAGGACCCAAATACACATTGAATTAAAGGCAAAATGATCATTCTTAGAACGTCCTCTCTCCAAATACAATGACTTCGACAAAATTCCCTATTCTAACAAAATTGCCTATCAGTGTAACAGTCTGAGACCCACAGTACTTAACTTCCAATGTGCCTCATTTCCTCTCTACAACAAGCATTAGTACGCTGTTCCTGAATATAATTCCAGGCTGGCTATGAAAATTAACAGTCATGGTATTTCAGCCTATTTAAGAACAAGTAAATGAATATATTTCTCAAACAGATACATATATTTTTCTCCTCAAAGTCAAACATGTATACACATCCTAGGAAAATCCTCTACATAGCTGAGCAAGCAGACAATAAATTCAGCTCCAGGCGCCCAGGAGGGAGCCCCACTCCTGGAGACTGGGAGCTCTCCAGCTCACAAAGACTGGAAGGGAGAAAGGAGCCACCCTTCTCTGCCTGTCTAAGAAGCTGACCCAGGCCCCAGTGTTAAGACTCAACTCCTGATTGAATTCCAACACACTGTAGAGTTCCCCCAACTTTGAGAGGAAGACCACAAAACAAGTTCAAGAAAGCTTCTATCACCATAATCTGAACGTGATCTTAAAAGAAATCAGTGAGTTCCCATTTATATAATCTCAGGTCTGGTACTCTTTTCTGATCTTAGTAAAATCATAATTTTACGTTGATTGTTACATAGGATTCTATCATACACCGAAGCATAGAAAGCAACCTGAAGATCACAGTCTTAACTGATTGGTTTTACAAAGTAGAATTGAGCTCTGGTGAAACTGAATGATTTCCCCCAACAGGTAGGAACTGGCAAACGAGAATTCACTTTGTCTGACGTTCAGTTCAACACTCTTCTTACTGGCAAGAGTTATTTACTCTTATTCAACAGTGATTGAATGTTAGCCACATTCCAGACACCCAAGGGACATTACAAAGCTGAATGCAGTCATCCTCTGAAGGAACCTGAAACATGGTAGGTTTCAGACAATATTTTCACAGTTTTAATTACTGTGCAAATCACCCAAAAAAAAAGCCTGAGGTGGAATTTTAGAGGAATATTTGAAAGTAACTCTCCTGATAGCCCTATTGCCCTATTTCTTAATTTTAGACTGAATCCTTCATCCTCCTGGTAGCCCTTCCAACTCGAAAAGGTGGACATCATGCTGAGAGCATCACTGTGGAGGAGGAGGAAGACAAGGACAATGACAATATCAATTCAGAGACATTTCCTATGCACCCATCACTATTCTGGAACCTTTGTTAACCGAGTTTATTTAATCCTCACAGCAATTTTATACCAGGTTTGGAAAGAGTCAGTCAGTTGCTCTTGAGAGGGAGACGGAGCTAGGGTTCGTTTCTACGCAGGCATGCTCTTACTGCCGCAGCCTCCAGGGTCCAGCACCTGGGTCTTCCCCTGAGGAGCTGGAAACTACCTGGCTCCTCGGGACCTCAATCTCTTCATCTGTGAAATGATGAAATGGGCCACGCGACCTCCAATGTCTCTTCCAGGGGGAGCATTTTGAGATCTACTGATTTGAGGTATTTAACCAGTCTCTTGTGGTACAGAGGGAGGAAAACACTTTGTAAAAGCTAACGATAATTTCTCCTCAAAATTACAAAAACCAGACGTCAAGTGTGCAGCGGTTCCAGGGTAACGGAGGGTGGGTGGGTAGTTAGGGGTTTGAAGTATACATCGTTGACTGTCATCTAGGCGCCAGCCTCATGTTATTTTGAAAGCCACATGTCACAGCCACAGGACAGCAATGACGTACAATCATACACAATGATATTTACACAAGACAAGAGGTTTTTTTACTTTCCTAATGATGATTAGGAGTCATCTGTAAAAACAGAGGAACATAACGTTTGTTACAGGTTAGGAGGAAAAAAGCAGGATATAATATATGGACTGTGGCTTTTTTGCTTGCTTTTTAACATGAGGAAAGAAGCAAGAACTTTCAACAGTGGTTGTGATGGGATAATAGGATTTGGACAAATTTTTCTTTCTCCTTTTGTTTATTTTTCTTTTTTATGTGAGCTTAAGTTACCTCCATAATTAGAAGGGAGACTTTTCTTTATAAAGAGAGAAAAGGTGCCCAGTATTCTCACATTGGTTTTCTTCTGAGGAGAAAGAAAATACTCTCCTAACAACATCTCCATAACACCATCAAAATTCCAGAAATACAGGTTTAGAGAAAAACATTATTACCTGCTACAGATGGGCAAGAAAAGGTTCCCCTATCACTTCAGGTCTAAAGTAACTAAGTTTCATAGGATGTTTCAGGAATGCTGGCAGGGGCAGTTGCTTTGAAGTCCAGGGACACACAGCTTTGCAGAGCTGGGCCCGGAAAAATGAACAGGTGCAGCCCACAAAGCAGCAGAGCGTGAGAGCCAAATGACGCTGGCCCCATCCAGAAATCCCGGTCTGAGCGGGTTCTCCCTGAATGGTCCTGCCCTGCACACAGCCAGCCACACAGGCAAGGGGACTTTCCATGAGCACAAATGCCCTTTCCCCTCTGAAGCACTACAGCAAAGGGATGACAGGTAGCATAGTTCATGGATTCCACAGCTGTTAAACGACCACACCAAACTAATCTCTGCTTTCATTAGGCTTCAGGATAAGCACACTGCATAGATACATCTGTGTTCGTATATAAACACGCCATATATATGTATACATGTGTGGCCCAGTTTACAACACAGATCAATTACTGTGGCTTTGGATGGCCACAGAGAAACACCACTTTATCGCACTCTTGAGAGGGTTCTGTAAACACGTTATTTCTCTGGTGACTCCCACTGATACAGAAGAAACTCAGGAAAGAGCACAATTGAAAAAATCACATTCACAATGCTATTAATTACCTCTGCCTGACTTGAACAGGTTTTTTGGCTACTTTGTAGCAGGTAGATAAAGACAGATCTGATATACAAAGAATAGGAAAACTAGAACAGGAAAAGTCAGCTCCTCCTTTGGGAGTCTGACAGACAATCCGTGGCGTCAACACCGCATCACACCCTGGGCCAGAGGGAGGGCCTGCAAGGGAGCCGTGGAGTCCTGCTCCCCCAGGCTCCAGGCCGGTCCTAAGCGTGCACATCACCGTGGGCCGGGTGGCCCTGCCTCCGTGGAGAACGCAACACCACCAAGGCCTGCAGTGTCCTTTGTGTGTTTGTTAATTTAAAAGGACATTCTTTCTGTTCATTCACTTGACTAATTATTTAAAATCGGAAAATAATATAATGTAACTAAAGAGACATCATCCCTTGTGGGGTTTTTTTAAGGTTGTTTTTTTTTCTGTTTCTAAGTGCGAAGTTGGCACCTATTAACTTTACCTCACAGTAATTAAATACATCTAACATTAGATAAAGAAATTGAACCTACCTCATCAAAGGTGGTGTCGTCTTTCTTCAAAGCTATAAAATAAAAAGGGAAAGGAAACAGTTATTGTGAAACATCTCAAGGAGGCCAAGTATCTAAGTTTTAGAAAACAGAAAGAATACCAAAGCAAAAGTGTTTTCATTTCAGAAAGTAAAAGTGTACCCCAACCTGAATAACAATGTTATGATACAAGGATGAAAACTGCAAATGAGAGAATTGCCCAGCATGCATCTTTGTGAAACACTCTCATAAATATGTAAAAGATACTGTCCTCCCAAGTAGGGAAAAGAAGTATGCATATCGTTCCCCATCTCTAATTTAGTAGGAAAATGTTAAAATGAAAGAATCAAAAAGTAATATTAAAGAAATTCCCCTTGAACTTCTGGTTGTTGAGCATATACTATTATGCATGGTATATGGTCCTCTCAAACCGATTGATTGATAGGATGATACCCACTCTGCACAGCGCCCTAAATGAAATTTTCATATGAGAAAAGTTTAAGTGCAGTAATGAAAGACCAAGCGTACAATAAGCATTGCAGAGACATAATTCAAACATTTTAACTTGAGAAATTTTGTAACAAAGTATGAACACAGGAAACAATACATTCAGAATATCGATAGGAACTAGTGAATACTTAAAATTTATTTTAAATATACATGGCTTCAGAACTGAAAAAGAGAAAGAGAAGTATTTCACAAATAGCTGGCAAACACCTAGTTCCTTAAATCCTACAATTACTCAGAATGTTTCATACTAAGGTAATACACAAAGTAGCTAATTTAGCTGAAACCACTAATTGGAAAAATGTTTCAAATTTATGGAATTGTGCTTAGGTGTTTACTGGTCTACACACTGGCTGGTTTCATTCGACATAGTAGTACCTGGGTGTCTCTTACTTGGAAAGCCATGTTCCGACAAAAGCAATGGAAAGCAAATTATTTTGGCAATTAAGCTCTGAGAGAAGTCATGTGCCTAAACTGAAGTTACCATATCAAAGTTTATATTATATAGTCTAACAGTCTTAAGAAGGTAACTTTTTTCTGTTTCGTACTATAAATTTGTTGTTGTTTTTTTAACATCAGTAAGTATGTGGTTGTGGTGAGGGCAGGTTGAGAGAGATAAAACGTTTCTGTAAGTTTAATTCTTAGCCTTTTCCTTTTGCCTAAGAAACTGACCTGTAATAGATTTCTCTACTCTCTTTATTTGAGAACAATTTATTCTGAATGGAATATTAAAAGATAGCCTTTTCTCACATTCAATTATACATTTTATTATGTACTTTACTAAATTTACATTAAATCTAAAATAAGCTATTTTGATAGAAATACAGGATGGGGTAAATGTAGGTTTATGTTGTGAATACATGAAACAATTTATTCTTATATTATTATTTATTAATTATTGTATTATTTTTTGTACAACTGTAAACCTACTTTTGCCATACCCAGTATATAAGATCCTAGAGGTTCTTGATGGTTAGTGTTAATTCTTAAGCATTAAATTTTAATTCAGAATGTAAAACTTCTAATCTCAAAGGCTTTCTTTAAATACCAGTCAACACTAGTTACCGGACTATACCCCTCACTTCAAACCAAGGCATCCTTTAATTAACATATTTGACTAATGATTCCTTTATAAAATATTAATGACCTATGTAAACATAGACAAGTGGGGGTCCATCTTTTAAAAAAAAAAAACATTTTTTTCTGGAATTAGAAATGATTATTGGAGCTCATTGACTCCAAATACAAAGTCAATTATTGTACCAAACATATTAACAAAGATTGGTACAATATGTTTGGTAGCTTCATACCAAACATATTAACAAAGATTAATGGAAAACATTATGTGGCTACCATATAAGATACAAACTGCAGCAAGTTTGTAATTCACAATACAAACTCTTAACTATATTTATTTGGGGCATGATAAAAGTTCTGGAAATTTAGCCATGGTTTTTCTTAAGCAAAGCATCCAATAAGAACCACAGCTGATACTACCCCTTAGAGAACTGCAAATACAGAATGAAGACCCTGAAGTTGAGAGATGAATAAAGCAGAAAATGAGAATGTCTTCGACACCCAGAGTGGACTATTTTCCTCTTGCCTCTTAAGACCTGCCAATTCCTCCAACATTCTGGATAAAGGAGTGGGGTCTGTAAGTAGAAAGAAAATGAGGAAACAGAAGAGGGGGATGCAGAAAGCCAGGTTCTCTCTCCCCTGCACACTATGCTCTCCCCAAGCCCTGGATACTACAGTGGGAAATGTTTTAAGACCAAGAAGTCTATCACTTCATTGAAACTCTTCATTGCTAGACTGACACCTTACACAGTTTCTTCTAAATACTGAATCCTTGCTCTGAATAACAATTCATAGTAACAACAAAGGCGAATTAAAGATGTCATTTCAGTGACATTTAGGTCACTAATGACCTAAACAAACACAAAACATCTCACTATTGATTACATTCCATGACTGTCATTAATCTTTCACGTAAATGTAAGCCCACAATTGCCTTCAAGGACACCATGGAATAATACACACATTACATGTTTCTGGGTTCACAAGGAGGCATGTATTAAGCCATTTAAGATAGTCAGATATTCTAGTCAGTCCTCTGCTCAGACATTGCTTCCTCTGAAAAGCTTTCCCCGATCTCACCAAGACTAAAGTGGTGTTTATGTTCTCCTATGTTCTCCAGTTGCAAAGTATGCTCATCTTCAAGGCAGCGTTCTTCACTCTACACATATTGCCAATGCCCATTCATTGGCCTGTCTTGTCTCAAGGTCCTGAGGACAAGGACCAGTAAGAACGGTCACTGAATTTGAAAGCTAGAGCAATATCTAGAACATAGGAGATACTCAATATTTGTTGAATTAATGAGTTATACGAGTATATCTCAATGGCAAAAAGATAACACCTTACATTTTGAGGCACTCAAAAGTTTTGACATACGAAAACCATACACTATTCTCTCTTATGAAAGGATACTAGATATGAATTCCATTTCATAGTTTTCAAATTAAAATCTTTTGAAACTACATTGGGAGAGGTACAACAGTTAAATTTTATCTGACCCTTTAACCTTACATTCCTCTTTTCTGACAGAATGGACTTATCAAATGACAACTGGACGCTAGAATTACACACAGCACTAGGTAACAAACCCAAAAATTCATTGTAACCACAGACTCTTCCTTTTACTCAGTTCTCGCAAAAACTCTTTTAAAGAAATAGTATACCTGGGTTTCATCTCAAATATCACAGAGTATAAACTACCTTCCTCTCGGAGAAAATCCAAATAAGGGTGAAGAAATGCATTCACATGAATATGAAGAAATGTCAGTTTGACCTTAATCTTACACCAGCTATTACAGAAAGATTTTCTCCTCCTAGGCTGATATTCAAAAATAAAAAAGAAAGAAAAGAGGAAATAGGTTTTAATATAAACTTTTTGAGCAATTAATTAACAAATTCCCTTTTGTCTTTGTTTATGTTAACTTAAATTTTTTAAAAGTGAGGCAACTATAGTAATTCCTAAATAAGTCAACACACTGACATTATATTTAACAGGAAATCATAACTACTACTGGAATCAGTGGATGACTTTGAAATTCAATTACCCCCACCTGGTAAAAGAACCACAGCTGTATAATGGTCATTCCTTGGCAGAGGTCATAAATTACAGCGCTCTGGCTTGAAAGCCTATGTGTTTTATTGGACCCTCTATAATACAGTAATCTCAGATCAGCTGCATTTGAAGTGGGCAGTGATCAAGTTGGCATGAGCTTTCGTGTAGGAATAAATTACACATTAGCACTGTCACTTTTATACAGTCAGAATTAATAAACGTCAATTAGGTATCGCATACTTTCAAAAATTGTCTTTATTTTCTTTAGATGAACAATTACTACTTTCTTATAGCTCAACCATAATACTGTACATTTTTTTCATACTCGTACAACAAGCTACACTTTTGAGTCACACTAAAAAAGGGAAATAAAGTCAGTATGTTTATTTTCAAACACATCACATATTCGTTAAACGGAATGAATATGTTGTAATGTTAGATTATTCAGCAGGAACAAGTATTTACTCTTTGATCTCCTCATGAAGAACCAATGAAGAAAGGAGGAAGATGGGGATAAACATTAAAAAATTGGACAGAATCATAAGCCTCCAGTAATGATTTCCACCATGTGAAAAATATTACACTAGATATTTTATGTATTATATCTGATTTATTCTTCATGACAACCTTAAAAAATTTTACAACTGAGACCTCTGTGGTTTAGGGAAATTCTGCTAGATCCCCATGGTGCACAGCAAGCAGAGAAAAATGGGTTACATCCAGACCAGCTCAACTCTAAAACCTCTCCTGTTTTCAGCCTGGCTGCACTGTAAGGTCAGCGACCACTTCTTCCCTTACTTATCTTGCTTTCCACTTAGAAGATAATTATGTCGGTGTGATGAAATATGCAATCACTAATAATGATAACATCTTATGATCATCTATTGAGTCTTTATTACATACCACACAAAATCTTATGTGTCTTATTTCACTAAATGCCAACAACAAAATTGGTTTGTACATTAAAAAAACAAAAACAAAAACTGAAGCTCAGAAGTTGAGGGACCTGTCCAAGGTCACTCACCTCCAAGTGGAAACTCCAGAAATCCCCAGTCTGTCTGACACATGGTCCACAACACCCTTATCTATGCACTATATAATCTCATTGTAAAACCTCAATTCAACAGCCTCCAGGACCCTAAAAACCCTTAAATAGGCACATTTATTTCATTGATTTTTTTATTTTGCAAACAAAACATCAACAAAATACATAGATAACAAAGATTAATTTTTCTGTAATGCTACTTCTAATAAATGCCTTGAGCTTAGTATTCAATCATAATCACTTTAAATATCTTTATCTCCTTTTCACAGTATTCCAGAATGAGATTTGCTATTCAGAATGAAGATCCTCATCCACACAATAATCAGTTACATTTACTGTACTGTTTCTAGGAGGAAGTAAAATCTAATAGATCTTAGAAGACATTTTAACAAGAGTCAAAATCAAAAGGAGTTCCACAGCACTAACTCTCAGGAAGCTAGTACGTCCAATTAACTATAACACCCCATTTGACAGTGCTGTAGTTAATCCAAATTTTACTGATTGCCGATCAGATTCTTGAAATTATTTAAACATAAGGATTTTTTATATTAATGTTCTTGGTTTCTTACTGAGATTCAAGTGCAATGAATTATTTAACACAAAACTGGAAGTGCTCCAGCAGAGTCATTAGCATTAGTAAATATACAGTAAATGTGTTTCAGGACAGGGCTTAATGGACTCCAGAACCGCCTCTGCGATGGGTGGGGTGAGGGGGCCTGAAACATCCTCCTTAGTAATAAACACCAACTCAACACCTTTCTCTTTCACTCTTCTTGGTTTAAAACTTCATTTGAATGTACAGATTATTAATATGCATTTCTAACCTGTAAAAGTGACTAAATATTGGTTTCATTCCATAACTTTACAATCATCTTGGGTAAGATTTTGTACCCCAATACAAAATTTTAAGTTAAAAGACAACAAAGAAAACTAAACGTTGATCCATGTTTCCTTTTACTTGAAGAAAGTTTGCATATTTTCCAATGCACTTATATAACGATTTTTAAATAAATGGATAGAAGGATGACTACAATTCACATAAGCACGTCAGGGTTTTATTTTAAAGAATTGGGCACCTTTTACTTAATTTCCATTAACACCCTCATTAACGATGATGACAGGTTAAACAAATGAAACAAAAGGTAGAAGCCTTCTTAGGGGCTCTAAGAGGTTATTTTTAGTGCTAGCATGATTTTCTGGCTGAGAGCAGTTATCTGTGTAAATCAAAGTTATGTTAAAGGTGGTAGCCACTGTCTTAAGGTTTAAAAGGGTTTTCTAAAGCCAACCCTAGAAATATAGCAAACCTACCCCACGTGACACTGTTGTCACCCTGCTATAATCTGTCACATGGATTTATTCTTAAACGTCCTAAACATTTCTCGGACGTTTTTTGTTGGTCAGTTGGTTGGTTGGTTGATTTAAAGACAATAGCCTCGGAGCTCTAATAAACGGAAGAAGTTTGGAAGATATTCCTAAATGTCCCGACAAGTTCACAGCGCGCATTTCTCTGCAGCAAATGGAAAAATTCAGAGACCTCGGGACTGAACACCCAAATCTCGCTTTCGAGGACCTGAAGTACCGAACAAAAGGTCCCAAGGTATCTGTCCCACTTCTCTTTAGGTTAGCTGTGTTAAACAATACGAAGGCACAACTCAACGTTTCGCCAACTGCCAAAGCTAAATTATTGACTAAACACCCAATACCAAAGACCGAGCGGAAAAAAATAACAATTGGCCCACGCGGGCGCAGAGTCCCGTGTGCGGCTGGAGCCGGGGCGTCCCTTCGCCTGTCCCCCGCGGGAGCGAAAGCCCGAGCGGTAGTGGCGAGGACCGAAAACCCAAATTGTAGGCTTAAGATCATCCACAAATGAAACCTCACATCCTGAAGGAAGGGGGTGTCTCTCCTTTCCGTCTTCACCCCCCACCCCCAGGTCCCGGGCACTGTTCCCTCCACCGTCCGCGCGCAGCTCAGCGCACCCCACGGGAGCCCCGGGTGGCCGCTGCATTGCTGGTGCCAGAAGCGCGGGGCCGAACGAGCGGACGCGGGGGCGCGGGGTTAGCTGTCCCGGGCAGCGCGCCACTCACCGATGCGACTGAAACTCTCCGACAAAGTTCTCCGCAACTTCTTCATCTTGCCGATCTTCTCGGCCGGTTGCGGTTCAATGAGGTCGCACATCTGGGCGACAAGGAGCCACGGCAACTTCCCCAAACTGGTCCAGAGCGGAGCGCAGACAACGGCGAGAGCGCGGCGCGGGGAAGGCGGTGCCTCCTCCTCCTCCACCTCCTCCTCCGGCCGGGAGGCGAAGCGCAGGGCTCGGGAGACGAGCGGCGAGCTGCAGGCTCGGCTCAGGCCTGTGCCACCGCTGGGCGGGCGGGGGCGTTCTACGTGGTGCCGGGGGCGGCCACGATCGCCGCGGCCGTGGTGGCTCCGCGCCGCACCGCCGCCGCCGCCCGGCTCATTTTTCCCTCCTTTGTAACGCAGAGCAGCGCAGCCGGCAGTGGGGGGCGGTGCGGCCGGAGGCGGAGCGGAGCGGGGGCGGGCCACGGACGGGCCGGGGACCAGGTGCGGGAGCCTGGGGTAGCCGAGGGCGCGGGGTTAGGACCGGGAGAAGTTCCCAGCCCCGAGTTTCGGGAGCTCGAGAGAAAGAGCCGCGGCGTAGAACTGCTGCCCGCCCCGCCTTCACCGCCCCTCCCGCCGCCGCCGCTGCCGCCGCCGCCGCCGCCCTCACCCCCCTTCCCTTCGGCGACGGACCCAGGCTCAACCTCGACTCCCAGCTAGGAGCCCGCGTCCTCTGCGGCCCTCCCTGGCCCGCTGGCGCCCCTGCGGCGCCCCCTCCAGGCCACCCCCGCGCTCCTCCCCCGGCCCTGCAGCCCCGCCCTCGCTGAAGGGCTCGGACCCCGGCCCGCGGAGGGCCGAGAACCCACAGGGCTATGAGCGGGCCGCGACTGGGGACCCCGTCTCGGGCTGTGGAGAGGCCACTGAAAGGAAGGGGACGAAGTGTAGATCGCTTATCTGAGCGGTTTTCTCCCTGCCACGAACGCGTGTGAAAAGAGCGCGGACTCGGGGGGTAAGGGAAGTGGCTGCCACCGCTGCCTCCCAGCCGGGGGAATGGAAAGGCCTCGAGGACACTCTCAGGCTAACAGTGACTTTTTTTTCCCCCTTAATTTTGCCAAGGAAGCTGGGAAGTGGAAGATGCAAAGGGAAAGGTGAGAGCATTTAGAGTCAAGGGCAAAAGCGGAGGCCTCAACTGTAACCCCGCAAGGCAGGGCTATGGCTGTTTCCTTCATCGCCAGTCACATTGAGCCACAGCCATTGGAATGTGGATGTAAGTGATTTCTGACATGAATACCCAGTTCTACAGTAAGCAGCAAACAGAAGTCCTTAGTCTATTTCCCATGTTCGGAATATGTTTCTAAACTAGAAGACTTAGAGGCCAAAAAGATTCTGACCTCCTCTTCCCCCACCTCAAAAAAAGAAAGTGAACTTTAAAAGGGGGGCAGGAGGTGCTTCTTAAAATCCCGGAACAAACAGTTCAGACAGCAAACACACATCATCTTCATTCTACTAAAAGGAGGGCTCCAAATGTCAGTCTCCCAGGGGAGAGAGAAGGAAGATGGGGGAGGGCCTGAATGTGTTGATTTGGGGCCAGCAAACTCCTTATGAATAGAAATTTAGTAATCTTGAGTCATCTGGCTGTGCAATAAGAGCTTGTGAACATGTGACAATGCAGTTTGGTTTAAAGGAAGTTTCGGGGAGTTTGTGTTTTGTTAATAGATCTTTATCTTAAAACAAAAACTAGCCCCCCGCCTTCCTTATATTGTGAGGTAGAACACAGATTTGTTCTCAGCACTGAGCGTATTATAGGGTCTTGATAGATTGCAACTCATAAAAAGACGGGAAGTCAAGCCAAGTGGGAGCCCTGGAGGGTGGGGAATTGTCAGGAAGTCGATAGGAGTTCAAATGCAGGGATGTTGGTTACTGGCGACCATATCTAGATATTACAGACAACACTAAGTGTGGCCTCGGACAGAAGCTTCACTTTTACCACTTCCTCAGGTTAGGGAGAAAGTTATCAGCAGCTAATAATGAAGATGAAAGCAACCAATCAAATTAGTGATGGGTTCTAAGAGTCGACAAAGATAAAGAAATAGTCATTCATTTAATAACCCCTGACTAGTATATGTCTGTGGCTGTTTTATTATTTACTCTGAAAATAGCTGTGTGTGTGAATATATATGTGTGTGTGTATATGTACACACACACATATATATTTTCCCTCTGTTTAACCTCCTCAGTATTTAGTATTTACAACTTTTTAAAAGGTCAACTTCTTCTTAAATAAATTATGGTATATGCATACAAAGGTATAATCAAACATTTGTAAAAATGAGGTAGGTCAATATATATCAATGTATAAATATATCTAGGGTAAGTGAAAAAACATTTATCATAAGCACCTTTTTGTGGGAACAAAAATATATATGTTTCTGTATGCATAGGGAATTTCTGGGGGGGAAAAGCCAGAAAACTGTTAAGTATACATACCCAAAATAGAAAGAACATTTTCTCTGGACTTTCTTTATGCCTTTAAGTATAATTTGAATGTTTTACCCAGAGAATACATTGCTTTCATAATAATAGAAATACTAATTTTAAACATAAAAAAATATTTATTTTTACCTACCCCAGTCCAAATTTCTGCTCTCTCACCTCCAAAAATACTTCACCAAATTACAATGGTGTCCCTAACAGGAGAAGCAGTTGGTAATAAGGGACCATGTAAACCTTGGCAATTTTGAATAACCAACTTTCCATAATATGCCTATCTGCTTCCTGTGTTGATTATATATTAAAATGCCTAATTTTGCAAGGAAGCATGATAACAAAAGAGAAAATCATTAAGTGGATGTTTTTTAAAATATGTACACTTGTTTATAATGTTATACAACTCAATTCTTTATATAGTTATTTTACTTGCCTTCATATTAAATTGTAAGGTTCCTGAAGGCAGGGACCCTATGTATGATAAAAAAAAGATCCAATACCCAGGTCTCATAGCAGCTGTATATTAAATGGTTATCAAATGAATGTGGAATGTAGCGCTGCCACTGAGAAGCGATGTGCTGTCCTCAGAGACCAGGATGACTGTCAGCATCGGTGCAGCACGCATATCTTCGGTAGGAGGATGAATCAGTGCCGAGTCTCCATGTGAACTGTGAACTTCTGGTTCACAGGGTTAGAGTTTTGTCTGGCCTGAATTAAAGGTGCTGTGTCTGGACACAGATAAGCTTACCTCAGGGCTTACTCGGCATGGGTTGACCTCAATCAAATTCATCAATTAAAGCATGCACTTGTATTAATTAGGCCTGGAGTAGTAGGAACAGTAGCTGGAGACCCAGGTTCATGAGTGCTTGTCCCTACTCTATTGCTAAGTGTGCTGTGGCCTTAAATGAGTAAGTGACTTACCTACTTTCTTATCTTTAAAATGAGGGACTTGAACTATAGGACCAGTCATAGCTGCAAAATTCTGATTCTAAGTTGAATGGTTAAGTTGCTCCTCTTTTAGCTCATGTACTAAAAGGTAGATACATTAATAAAGAGTAATACACAAATGAGGAAGACAAAAAATTATGTGAAATGTAATATATAAATTGTGTTTTTTTAATAAACGGACTTTGTCCATATAAGAAAAATTGCAGGCTAATATGTTGGCAGTAAATTTCAAGGGAATGAATCCTAATCTAAATAAGATAAAATACAGAGAGGGGGTTTGATTAGAATCTAAAGTACCAGCAAATGTAGAGACAGATTTACTGACCTGACACAATATAAAAAGATATTATCAGGAAAAAAAAAATCCGTGAAACAAGGATGACAAGAATGTGGAGAACAGATTTGGAAAATGAAGTTAAAGAGAGAAACATTTGTTTATTAATGTAAATTTTTAGAACTTATCCAAAGCATAGATAGTTAAAGATTAAGACATGTAGTTCGGGTATCATTATTAGAGTGGTGGAAATCTACATAATTAAATATCCTCTTAGAACTCTAATCACCCTAGGTAATGATTTTTACGATCAAATGGTGTCCTCCTGTTTTGAACACATCCAGGAACTGAAGTAGCACAGGGTTAAGCGACCTACACCAAGTTCCCAGTGCGTGACACGGAATCCAAAACGCCTGTCACCAGCTTTTATGTTCCAGCTGTTGGATAATGTCCAGTGTTAAGTGTTCTTCCTCCTCCTTCTTATTTTTTGACAAGGAGAAAATTAAAATCAAATGGGAAGTTGCAGAAAATGTTCTAAACCATTGTATTCACACTTAGAAGAATGCAGCCTCCCCTCATCTCTCCCCCACCCTCTTCTACCAGCCATCCTTTCATTGTCTGCTCATTCCTATTTCGAATCCTTTTCAACATTTACAGAAATCACTCCCTGCTGACACACACCTCTAGGCTTGTTCAAGAATAAGACCTAGATTTGTCTTATAGGTCATTCTATTTTTTATTTTATATTCCAAGAGACCTATGAACTAAGTAAATTGATGTACTTGCAAATGACTGTAGGAAAAACAAAGTTGCTGAAATATCCATATGATGTCAATCATAAATTAGCTCAGAATAGTTTAAAGAAAAACAGCCAGGGTCAAAGTTTACACTGAAATACTCATAAATTCTCCTCTCCTATTAAGCATGGATAAATATTATAATGGCATCTCGTTCCTGTTATGCATTGTTATATAATTTGTATAATAGAAGTTTGTATGAGAAAACATCTACCCCAATTTCTACCTAACTTACACTATATTACACAAGGAAATGTGCCTAGAGATGCCACCAGGCTGTCCCTAAGATCTCCCCAGAGTTTCCAGTTTTAGATTGAGACACGTTTTGGTTACCAAAATCTTTTCTTTTATAAAACATTTTTTTGTAGCATGATGTGTGGATTTTTTTTCTTTTGCCATACTTTGAGTGAAATTATGGTTTTCCTTATGGTATAGATAGAAACTATTCTGACGAAGACAGAGTTCTAGAAATTGGCCAAATTCAAACAGGTTAATAAGTGGATCAAAACTACTAAATTCCAGCACTGAATTTTGCTTTTTCCTACATTACAAAAAGAAATTGAAAGTGGTATTGCAAATGAACAACTGACTCTGAAAAAGAGACTCATTTCTACTCCAGTGTAAATGAACTAAACATTTTAAAACTATCGCTTGTTGAACCATTGTAGCATACATCAGTAATGTATTAATAAAATGCAGTTTGGCCATAACTGCTATTTAATACAATATTCCTCATCTATGAGGATGAGTCACATCAAAATTACTTTGTGTTTTAGTCTGTTTGGGTTGCTATA